CCTTGGGTTCCTTTCACACTGAAATAATTGAGCTTGAGTTGCCCATGCTTCCCTTTAAAGGGAAATGGATTAAATATCTCCTGAAGTTGTGCTAATTACAGGAGGCAATATACCACATGCCAATTATCAGCAGGAGCCATGTGACTTTTGAGATGTTGAATACCAGTCCACTTTCATGCCTTTTTCTATCAGTTTTTTAAATATAAGAAGTAGCTGAGTGTGAGACGTCATTATGGCTGTTGAGCAAATCTCTGAATCTTCCTATTCACATACAACTACATCACTTCAAGGAAACAGGAAAGCAATAAACTAATTTTTCTTCCAGATATATGTTACTCAGTCAATGTAACATGCACTTTAACACATTTACTGCCCATCCCAATATGGTCTATCCTGATTCTGAGAATCCCCTGGCTGGGGCTTGCCAGAGGCCCATGCCTCATTATCGTATCAACCCCCCAAGCCACAGGGTTACTGTGATAAGGGAAAATGAATGGAACCCTTGTTCAGTTAACTGGACATGGGCAGTCAACATGTTAAGTAGAATTGACTCTAGACAGTCATGCCTAGGTATAATTTTCTTATAACTGTGAATTTGTAACATGAAGCCTATTTCTAGAGACTTCCAACCAGCTTTGGAGTTGGAGAGGGACTATAACCTGGTATAAACAAAGGTAAGGATGTGCATTTAGGAAAACAATCAAAGGGCAAAAGAGGCAATCATGTGATAAAGCAATAGATGCCCTGCTTAATGATGCCATGATTCAATTAATTCTGTTCCCCTTTTGTAATCACCAACAATCCAACCTCATATTCAATTAAGTCTTTGTTCAACATCAAACATCTTCCATTTCTTAAATTGAACTCTTACTGATTATTTTCACCAGTTCTGTTGCTTTTCTTTATCTTTTTGCCTTTAATTAAAAAAAAAAGGTCTTCCTCATGTAAATGAGCTGGTGCAAGTCAATGTCTCCAGAAGACATAGCAATGGCAGAAGATGTAACCATCAAGCTTGTTGGTGGAGGATACAATATTTGACCATCTAGGGAAAACAAACTAAAAATTCATTCATACAGTGGAAATTAATTTTGATGATACAGTAAAAAAAAAAGAAATTGCTATCAAATGACAAAATGTCATTCTTTCCAGAGGGGAAAAAAAATTCAGAATCTGGCAATCCTACTACCAGGAAAAGCTTATAATACAGTACAATACCAATAACACACAAAACAATGAAATAGATAGGAAACACACAGTTTGATCAAGGTTATAAACCTTGTAGGCCTAGCCCAAAAGAATACAATAATGCCTCAGCCAAGGTCCAACTTAAACAGCTTCCAACCTAGGCCTAAAATTCCTCACTTCAAATTGCTCATTGAGTTTTTGGGCAGCAAGGAGCTTAGTCTCATCAGTAACTGAGAGGTCTGCCAATTCAACAAGATGCTGTCGATAAATGTTCAATTGGAGAATGGAGTCACCGCCAGGGCTTCCACTGGGGAATTCTTCACTCATTGCTTCCATAGTAGGATAAATCACAGAGATATCTTCAATGTAGAGGCTACCTGGTTATTTCATCTCCATTTCAATCTCTGCAAGGAAACAAACATGGAATAAAGAAAATCCATTTAAATCCTACTGTCAGCCCTAAGCATGAATGTGAAACACTTACAAATTGGTTGGAGAACTGCTTCATGAAAAGGAAAAGAATAAGAAATGTTTGCTTTTGGCTTAATGAGTCTAATCAAAGAAATGATCCACCTGACTGCATCAGTTCAAAAAGTGCCAAGGGACCTATCTTATAGAATCTTATGAGCTCAGCAGCAGGGATATTATGGATGTGGAATTTTCAGTGATAACAAGTAAGTTTATACAGGGTGTCCATAAAAAAAGTACACTTTTGAAGTTCTATATCTTCGGATTGGTAAGGCATAGGAGAGATAAATTTTAGGGGGATACTCAGGGGGTCATGGGATTTTTATTTGAGACTGTTTTGAAAAAAATATATAAATTTTATTTTTCCCCCATATTTGCACTCTTGGCAGTACTGAACCACTACTGAAAGTATGTAATAATTTTCAGTCATAGATAGAAATGTGTTGACTTTGACTAAGATGTAGAGAGGTGAACTGTAGAGAGCTTTTCCACACCAACAAGTGTAATGCTGTTGTTGCCTTACAAAAATACCGCGCAGCACACAGCATGTGTTTGGGGCCCTGCTCGAGACAAGCTCTGATGAATTTGGTCAATAAGTTTGAGGAGACATTTTGTGTTTACAAGCTACATGGAGGCAGGCCATGAACCTCTGTAGATTTGTCACTGAAATCAGGGGGAATATGGGGAAAATGCTGAAATATGGGGGGAAAATAACATTTATATATATATTTCAAAACAGTCTCAAATAAAATCCCATGACCTCGAGTATTCCCCTAAAATTTCACTCTCCTATGCCTTACTGTTCTGGAGATATTGAACTTCAAAAAGTGTAAGTTTTTTATGGACACCCTGTACTTATCAAGAGAGAACCTCCATAACACACATTGATTAAACAATGTTGACTAATATTGCATGGATACCATTGTAAAGTACCAGGCAATTGAATATGTCTACAAGTTCACCATTAGTATAACCAACTATCATGTGTTTCTGGACTAACACCAGGATTGCCATTCTCAGCAATCACTGTTCAAGAACCTCATTTGCATTCAAAAGCAAAATAAACTATATTGGCCCTACAACAATCAATGTCACAGTGATTGCAGCTTTCTCTCAGTTGGGCCCATTCCCATTTTACAACAGTTATGGTCAAGTCCCCAATTCAGTTAAGGTCACTAATATTGCATGATTTGTGGTGCCATTCAAAAGCATGTGATCCAATCACAAATCACTGAATCCCATTTAACCTACAATTACACTAAGCCTAATTTTTATTATTCCTTTTATATTTTCAACTTTATCCTTGCCAGCATGGATCTAGGCAAGAACATGTAAGTCAGGTTTGTTATATCACTCTGAAGGATAGCTCCATGCCTCTGAGGTCCGATGCTAAGTCTTTCAGTTCTTTAATATGTTGACCACCACATGACATGCTGACATGTCACCATGCAGGTTTTGTAACTTGCCAAGGGTAAAAAAACAAACTTAAAGAGTGACGCACTGGCGTGTCATGCAGCACTATAGGAAAGAATTAGAAAAACTATATTGGCAGTCAACATGTTAAGGTCTCCCTAAATTTCAAATATTCTTTCAATTCTTCATTATATTATGTTTTACCTCATAAAGTAGCCTTTATCAATATGAACTCCCCTAATAAAATGGTTATCCTCTTATCTGGCAGAAAAATTAAATCAGTTCTATTACAAAGGTTGCAATAGCTGAGTAATCAATATCCTGTATAGCATATGGTGCACCTATAGGATCATATTGAGACCATTGCTATTCCTTGTTCATATGAACTATGATCCAGTGCAAATCAGATGAGGTGATGTATGGATGTAAGCTGATGACATCAATATTTGATCCTTCTTTCTACAAAATGAAATGACAAGCTAAGAGGGATCTTAAGAAATTAGTTCAGGAATTTTCCTCCTTTACTTACTCTTCACTCTTAACATGGACAAAACCTACTAAGTCTTGTTTCAGTCCAGAAGGCAAGCTTTGCAGAACATGCATACTTTGAAATTTCATGGTAAAGAGGTGAAAAGAATGGAAGTTGCAAAATTCCTTGAAGTATATGTCATTTGATTTTAAAACCTTCCATCATTCCATAAGGTATACATAAAAAATATTTCAACACACTATATCCAAATTCAACAGTTCAGGAAAACTTGCCCAATAGGAACCATTAAGAATGTTGTACCATAGCACATCCATGTGCGAATTATCACATCTCAAAAAATTATACGAGTAATAAGCTTTGCAAACAAAAATGAACATTCACATACACTTTTCAATCAGTGGAGAATCTTGCCTCTTGATCAGCTTATCCAAATGAATTCAAATGTCTACATCATTTATCAAAACCTCAGTTCCAGACTTAACCTTGGACAGAAGTTCTTCATACTTTTCCAGGTCTACATATAAACATAATATCCACTCAGCATCTTATGAGCTGTTAACAACACCACTGGTGTTTACTTGCTTGGGAATATAACATTAGGCATCAAGGAGAGAAAAAATACAATATCTTACCAAAATAAATTTGTTAGTTTTCCAGTTTTTCATCTTTTAATTCAGGACTGTTTAGAATGCTGATATTTAAATCAATTTTTATGTTATTCCTACATGATCTTACACTGCTAATAATCATGTTTGTTCCTTTACTTCCTTGTATCTGTCCTGATTTACAACTTGTCCTATTCTCCCATGTTCATGTGGCAGCTGACTCTTCCTCTATTTTAGAGAACCTGAGACTCTGATACCTCCAACCCCTGGGGTCTGAACAGACATTTTGGGCAAACTTAATCCTTCTTTTCCTTCTTCTTAAAAATATTCTAAATTAGGTACATATTTATAATTTAAAAAATATAGCAAACTATCCCAGATTAGTGGCAGCAAGAGAACAAGAGGTAATCAACTTAAGTTGAGTAAACCACAGGTGCGGCTCAGGTCGAGACAGGACTTCTTTACTTGTAGAGTGGTGAACGCATGGAATGCATTAGATGACGACGTAGTGGCTGCCCCTTCCGTGACTATTTTAAGAAGAAACTAGATGCTTTTATGGACAAGTAAAAAGGGGGGCAATGTTGACGTAAGGGACTAGGCAGTAAGCAACTAGGATAGTCAAATAACAAAAAAAAATACAAAAATATATAGCTTTAAGAGGAGTGGGTCTACCCTAAAATTAAGGAGCGCTCGACATGTAGTATCCAAATGGGTGTTATCGCCTCTTGATACCACTAAACTACCTTCATACCTTGAGTACCTTAGCAGCCTTTATGCCTATCTCCTCAGATTCATTCGTCCCTACACTAGTCCTGTTCTCATCGATCTTTCTGGCACAGATACCACTACGAAGACTTAATGAGCATCAAGATTTGGTATACCACTTCCACAAAAGTTTTGACAGCAAGGCTCGTGGTCAGGCCGGGAGAACGTGTATTTATGGAGGCCGCCATCTTTAAAAGAAAGAAAATCAACGAGGGACTGGCGGGCTGCAACCATCTGCTTTCAATTGAAAGACCTGCCGTCCTTGGTGACGATCGTGTACGGTCAGGATAAGTAGGCTGCCATGATTTACCTTTGGATATTTAATTTGTCTCAATTAGGCTGACTTCCTAATCTAACGGAAAAGGAGAAATTGATGTTTTGGCAGAGCTTACAGAGTCTCCAGATATGACGATTTCAACATGGCTCTTTACCAGACACGTGGGACCTCATGAAATGAGAAGCAACAAACGGACTGTCAACGGGGAAAATGTGTTCCAATGAATCAGACCTCACCCTGTGCGTTCGTCCTCCTGTTATACTTCGTTTCAACGGGTTTCGGATTGACTGCATGCTTATTCGAAAAGCCAGGCAAAATTTACTTGTGGTTTCTAATGAGCCAACGTCAGTGCTTGTTACTTATTTGTATCCAATTTATTTGTCTCAGCTCATATATACATGTGGAGAGCCACTAAAGACCCCATCCTGAGTGTGGCTTGACATGAGAGACCCAGACTGAGTTTGATGAGCTGTTGCATAAGGGAAGCATCGGTTATGCACCCATGACAGCAATAGCATAGAGACAGACCTGAATTACGAAGGGCCCCCGAATATGCTTGATGTGAACAACATCTAAATTGTGTCTCAAGCAATATTGTTTATGCCTCTACCACACTACCCAATGCAACTGCAGTTAGTGAGAGCAGAGATGTTTAAGCCATTTCCCAACCACAGACTCAGCTCTCTTGGAATATGTAGCTCCAACACTCAAAATAACTTGGTGGGAATAGGGTTGATGGCACTGGAGAGAATGCAGAGGGAGGCTGCTAATGTAATGAAGTACAGCTATTTTCATTTGAGATGAAAAGATGATTTGAGATGATGATTTAGACTTATTAGGAATTATTTCCTCCAAGGATGAAGGGAGACCTTATTTGAGAATTCAAGAACGTTAACCCATTCTGATTGGATATCAGACCCTGTTTGATGTCGGTTGCCATCTGCATAAAAAATAAATAGGGAAGGGTTCAGGGATTCAATCAAGGTCAATTTAGGGGGGGGGGGGGGTTGATGAGGTTCAAATCCCCCCCCCCCCCCAAAATTTCTTCCTTAAATTTTTGCAATACCGCTATTTGTCTGTGTAAACGGTGCAGTACTTGGTCTTTTCTATCTTTAATAGCTTATGACTTATTAAACACTGCAACTTACAGGAAAATCCAGATGTCAAAAAGACTTACAATGACAAGCATAAAAATAAGTAGCCACAGGGCATATGCCAGACCTCATCCCCCCCCAAAATGAAATCCTAGATACAGCCCTGGATTCAATCTTATAGAATGCAGCAGGTTATTCCAACTCAATGGTTGTAGTAGTAAGAGGGCAAATCAATTTAAGCTGTCTAAGCCCTAAGGGAGGCTCAGATTACAGAGTGACTCAGTAAAAGGGTAGTGAATGCATCAAACACAGTAGATGAAGATGTCTGCCTTTTCTATTACAAAATTTAAGAATTGTGAGCAGTGTTGCTTTAACCCTTTAAGAGTCAGGGGCATATTATACCCCCAAGTTTTTATTAGTAGGTGGCTTTGGTACCACTTTTGTGACTCTTTCAAACTGTGTACAGTGTTATTAGGAATACCTTTCCTGTGACTTTTTCCTAATCATTCAGTAACTGGTATTAAGTAAGAAGATTTGACTGGAACCAAAAATTTAATTTTCACTTATTCCCAATATTTTACAACTTAAAGGGTTAAGTAGCTAGGCAGATGGGATGATAAAAGGTGAGCAGAAAGTTCACAAGAAGCTTTTCTCTTTATAGTATATATACTTATAAAGAGAAAGACATTTGTGGTCAATCACTTCATTGCCTGAAGTAATCTCCCTTAAATTTGGCTTATGTGTCCCAGCTATTCAATAACTTTTTCACTCCCTTGCAGAGCCTGTTTTTTGGATACCCTTCAGTGCCTTGGCCATTACTGTACTAACTTCATCTGGACAATTATTGTTCTCCCTGGAGCTCATTTTTCATTACTGGAAGTGGACTGAAGTTCAAAATGTATAGAGGTCAGGTTAAATTTCCCAGCCTGTTTTTAGAACAGTGACTACACTCCATTTGAGTGACTGGCATCAAGAGTCATTCTCCTCTCTGAAAAATGGATCTCCATATGTCAAGCAAAATGTGGTCACTTCTTTGGGGAACAAGGGCTGGGAAATTTTGCATGATATTGTCCTACCCTCCATATCTCCTGTCTTGAGTTCTTGTAATTTCAATCTGCTGCAGCAATGAAGAATTGAGTTTAATGGAGAATTCCATGATATGACATGAAGTCAATGCAGTGGGGCCAAGGCCACAGCATCTAAAAAAAAAGGGCATGTGAGGGACTGAAAAACATTTGGATTGCTGGGCCACAGGGATCCAATTATTAAGGCCACATGCATGTATTTCAGCACATTCACATTAACTATCCATTAACCCACTTGCATGAAAAAAAGTATCCAAAAGTTGCCATTACAACACTCTGCTACTATTATGGAATATGATTGCCCTAAAGATCACCCATCCCTACACTTGAAGCTTTAGGGTAGTCAAAGTGTTGCCAACCCACCAAACAAATGCTAGGCCATGAGGATGTGACGATTCTGCTAGGCCCATCTCATATGAACACTGGAGCTTGACAAGGGATGTCAATATTAGCAAAGAAGTCTCTTGATTTCACTACCCAAACCTTGGCAATCCAAACTCATGTGAGGTGAGAGAAGATGCTAGATGGAAACTAACATGTGGGGAGGAGTGATAGGGAAAGCTCACAGGAAGGGGGGGAAAGGTGCTTGCCGCACTGCAGAATGTACTTGTTGGTGCTAAGTGGACAAGTGGGTATTTTACAGACCTAAAGTAAATAAATCTCTGACCCTGAATGGGGTCTTGCAGGATTAACCTTTATATTGGATACAGTCTATCATTTTCTGCTTGACTTTTCATTTCTCCTTACAGGAAACTGGAAGTCCCATTTGGATCACCTCATGAGGCAGAAATAGCTCACAAGTCATTGAGTGTAGATCCTGAACCAAGTCGGAGTGAGACAGTCAAGTTTTTAAGTGTCAGAGATAATAAACTTCTTGTGTGAGTTGATCCTCTTTCAATATCAAGCCACTTTTTATAGCATTAAATTCAATTTGTATAATTAACCATTTCTCCTGCAACGTAGATCTTGGAGAGCAGTGGATGCCCGAAAGCTACGAGTGAGCGTAAACTCCTTTTTCGAGCATCTGGTGCTGGTGTCAGATACTATAGAGGGATTCAGTTGAGAAATCATGCCTGAACACACTCCAGCGCCAACATTCTCTCGTGGTATTTATGGATTTGTGCTCTACTTGGCATCCTATTTGGGGCTGGCTCTATTCCTCATTTGGGCATATGTTCCTGAAAATGTGCTGCCAATGGGCTCCTTGCCCAGCAAGTATTGGGCAATTGCAATCCCAGCATTCTTCTTTACAGCACTGATTCTGTTTGTTTTCTGTTTTTATCCTGGCCTTATCTTGCTCATGACATCCAACCTCGAAGATTCTCACACCATCGTCGATGAACATTCCAAGGCCCTGCAAGCTGTAACTGCTGATGACGGAGATCCTCGCAAGATTCCTCCACTTGCCGACATCCCATTGTGTGAAGTGAATAGAAAATTATTTCTCCGGAAAAGTTCACCTTGTTACCATAAATAAGTTTTGAATGAAACAGAAAAACAGGAAAAAGAATCAAATGCTGATGACTTAATCATCTTTTCTGTCTGCTGTTTGTTGCTGAGTGAACTTAGGAAATGTCAATTCCACCTGAGGCCATGAAATACGGCCATCAGCCAACTCCTTCACTGTGGATGCCACCTGCATGATCTAGGGGAAGAAGTAGTTTTTTTTTTCAATTATCATAAACATGCCAACACTACAGAATGATTGGGTAGTCTGGGAATCTGACACTCACTGGAATTCTTACTTGACCCATGGAATTTCGTTCCCTCAGAGTTACTGAAGGTGGTTCTACATGCACAGTGTCAAAGTCAACTGTGATACCAAATGGGATGGCGATTTCATCTGTGCGAGCATACCTCCTCCCAATGGAACCACTCGAGTCATCCACACGATGGCTAACTCCAGCCTGTCTAAGCATATCTCCTGTGACAACAGCAAAAAAGAAACAAGTCTTAAACAAATAAAAATTTTCTTTGCACTTCATAAAAAGACAAAAGATCTTGGAGCACAGAAAATTTGAAAGGGCATTAATATGCATTTCATGAGAGTCAGCCATAATTTAACCTTTTGTGGACCATGGAAATCACACTTCCCACTGCACAAATTTTTATAAGTGAGTAGGAAAGACTGCCTCCCATCCCCACTGATATCAGTTGGTGCAACCATCTCCACTAAAGTTGCATATGTGAGCAATAAAAATATGGAATCTGTTTCTATTAAATTTATGTGATAGAAAAAAATTGCAAGAACATTATTCAATTTCTTCTGGAAAAAAATTGTCTATGAAAGTGTTAATGAAGCTTATTGTACTGGTTTTGTAAGAATCAATACTGACTGATTTACATCACAGTGAATGGCTTCGACTTTCTTCTGCACACATACTTGAACCTAGTCTTTCATTTCTGGTCTGCTGAAAGGTTGACACAAAACTCAACCACCTGAATTTTCATAACATTTGTCATTTCCTCAAAAAGTATGGGGGATATTCAACTTGTTTCACAAATGATGTTCGATTTCCAATATATTGTACAACAGCTCAGAACTTTTTACTTCTACATCTCTTTATATAAGCACACCATGGCAGCATCATCAGCCACTTATAGGAATCGTAATATTCAGAATGAGATGCACTCAAGAAGGGCCAGAAAGATCCAACTCTGATCTGCACAGAAATATACTTTAGGAGTGGAATGGCTCAGAATGAAGGGCATGCTGTGCTTCACAGGCAAGATGAGGTGTGCATGCGGAAGGAGAAACTTAAAAAAAAAATCGATTGCTTTCATTGCAAAATGTAGAGCTTAGAAAAATTCCCTTCTGAAAGTGATAAAACAATTCTTCTGGGAGGGGTGGTCAGGAGTATAAATTTAATAGGCAGTTATGAAAAAATTCTCTTTTTTTTTCAAGCTAGCATTATTCTGATATTTTTAGCTTTTTGATCCACTTGTTCCTAGTTCACCCTTGTCCTGTTCCCTGTTCAGATATCTAAATCTGATCAAAGGTTTAACACAAATGAAGGGTCCTTAGAGCAAATGCATGAAGTGCAGGTATTTGTGCCAAAGAGATCCACACAGACATAAAATTTTCTCTTCAACCAATGTCAGTCTCTTCATATCTCTCATCTCTTCATCCAAAATGACATCATCTCTCAACCACAATTCATTAAGTGCAAGTAAACCACCTCAACTCTCCCAGAATCCAAGAAGAGCTGTCAGAATCACAAATAACTGATGCACAGAAACTGTGGGCCTTGAAAGCAAGAGAGAAAAATGCTACCTCTGTGTTGCAACTTCTGCTGGAAACCAAGGATAAAGCAAATACTGAATTCTTTGCTCCTACTGTAGCAGGACAAGTATTCAACTTACCTGCTTGGACAAGACTGAAAAAATTATTGTAGCAATATTTATGGAGACATGAAATTGGGATGCATGTCTTGAAAAGGAAGGCAGAAAGACTTTCAAGGAAGGAGATTGAAACGAGGAGTCCTTTTTGAAACTGAAACAAGTGTTTTTTCTTGAACTCTTGTGTTCTCAATGTCCTTCATAAAATCCAATGTCCTCTCCAGAATGCATGGGCTTCCCTTCCTCTAGGGGTCGGTCTTTAGGAATTAAATCAGTCAAAATAATCATCCACAAGGTGAATGAAGTCAGCAGTACTACTTTCTTCGAGGAAGTAGTAACAAGCAGTGATCTTGTAACCAAGTCTGGACTCTGTCACACTGACAATACTTTCATGCAGATCATCTTTCTTTTGGATTCCCCTTGGTAAAGAAGGATGAAACCATGATTGAGAAAATACTTTCAAATGAACTTTGCCAAGTGTGGAACATCCATTAAAAAAAAGGTGATTTCTTGAGAGGATGTAGATGTCATGTGGATTAGGGATTGAGCATTTGGAAAAATATACCTTATATTCATTCCCCAGTAGTGGACAAAGATCACTCAGATCACTGATAACAGCAACTAAAAAGAATTTGGCACATCACAAAGTATTCACAAACACGAAAAACATTTCTTTTGTGATCATCTGGTCAAAGTTATTGTAATCTGGCTGCTTCCAGTTCTTGAAAATTCCTCTAGGCATTAGAACCATGAGCTGTTTGTGTGGTCCATATATTCAGTCTTCCTGTGAAATGCAGCAAATCCTGGAATTGATTTTCAAATCATCACAGCTGAAAACAGCCCACAGCTGAAAACAGACACTAAGGTGGTAAGACACCTGCATGAAATTTCATTAGCCAAACCCATGGAGAATTCCTGGCTCACAAAAGAGATGACCAACCAAGGCTTTGAAACTAGAATGAGATGGGAATGGATATGCAAGGAATGACCTGACATAGTCATGTGCCTATGCTGACATGACCATCAACAACTTGGAATGAGTGAAATCAAGTGACCGATTCCAAGCTCTGAGATCTTGTAGTGAATTGATCAATCTATACAAGGCAGAGAAAGCTGTGCTAGTAGCTAGTTAAAAAGATGACACTCTTGTCAATACTTGTGTCATACTGCCAGAACAAGACCTGGAAATCCTTCAAAAAAACAAGGTGGACACCATATGATCATGACAGTGAACAATTTCCCACACAGGTGTTCACCCCAACCCTAACTAAGGCTGTATCTGCTAGCTAAATCAACTTTAAGAAGTGTGCCTAAGTCCAATTTCATTTTTCATTCAAAATCTGAAGCCAGAGTAAGAGCTTCATAAAATCCTTTTCCAAATACACATTTTGGAGGGATGCATGTCATAAGTTTAGCAGGAGCTCATTCAGCTGCAAGACATGAATCAGAGCAGGATACTCACGGATGCTCTGAATGAAGGGGTGAAATTCTGGGTTGTTGCTCAATGGGAGAACGCTGCATTTCACAGGGGCAATGATTGCTGGCAAAGTGAAGTACTAAAAGGAAAGAGAAATTCAGTCACAAAAAAGCCACATTCCCATCCATAGCTCTTCATTCAAAGGCAAAAATTATATGTCTCACCCCACGTTGTTCATCTCCCTCCCTCACTTGATAATTGTGTTCCAGGATAGCATACATGATCCTTCCAATCCCAAATGAGGGCTCAATGACACTAGGAATGAACTCCTCAACATGCAGTGTCTTCTCTACTTCTTTGAAAGCAGCCATTTCTTTGGTAACCAAAAAAGATCTTCCATCTATGTTGACTGTTACAGATCTGAAACCAAACACCACATGAAAAGACATGATGTGGAATGAGAAGTGAATCTGGTGAATGAGAAAGAACATACCCCTTCTCATATAATTCTGCCTTCATGTCTTTTGCTTCCTCTTGGCTCAAACCATTGAGTTTGCCCACTACCATGACTGCAGCCTCCTTGAATGTCTTTCCAATTGGGCCCTTGTTCACTGACACCTCTGAAAGATTTCTCATTTTGCTGAAATTCTGATCTTTTTAAAGGATATTTATTACTCACCTACTACCTGCAGGATAGGCCATAAAAATTCACACCAAATCAAAGTCTTGCATTTCCTGTGTTAATAATTTCTGCCAGAATCAACTGAATCTCAAAAGACCCAAAGACTCAATGTAACTATTCACAAAATGTTTTATATTTCTATTGCTAGTTAATTAATTGGAAAGACACAGTTCCACTACTCTTGCAGCATCAGGCTAAATTGATTTAGGTCAAATGATCTTGTTTATTGGACACTTATTTCCAGCAGGCTTCACATAGAGTAATCTATTGGATTGGAGTCATAAGTGTAGGGAGGCCATTAACTCCTTCAGCAGTAGGTTTTCCAACACACGACAAGAGAAGCCTGAGAATTTCTCAGGCATAACACTGATGGAGTCAATTTTTTAAATAATCTTTGCTGCATGATCTGCTAGACAGTTTTTTGTACATGAGTCTTTGTGGCTCAGAAAAGGAATCCTATTGAAACACCCAAGATAGGCCACCAAAAAGACACAGACATATAGGTACCACACCCTTTTTTTATTTTCTGGGGCATGTAAAATAGAAAAGTTACATGTGATATAAATATTATGGCCCACCCTGCACTGAAGGAGGAAAGAATCCTCCTAACACTCACCAATTAGGTTGACCTTCTTGGGTTCTGATAGTTTCTTCTCAGCATAGAGACGACTTCCAGAGGCTTTGGAATGCTGGCTCAAGTCATATGCTGATCGATCAGCACACCCAACACATTCCACCCAACCCTGCAAGAAAGAAAAAAAGTTAATGGAACCAATATATAAAGTGATTAAGAAGTCAGTTGGTAGATGTTATGAGATTCTAGAACAAAACCTATGCACCACAGCTTGATGAAAGTTTGGGAGTCGTACTGGTGCACCATGGGGAGAACTTTATGAAAAAAGAAAGTATGACTCATAGGAAATGCTGCTGGCATGATTTCATGCCAGCAGCAGCTGATAAGAATACTCAATATGGCCACCACAACTGCTTCCAATCAAGGTTCAACATGTTGCATGGATTCCACTTCTCAGCAGATGGCATCCTTTAGTTCTGGTAATGATACCTGGTCTCTGAGGGTAATAACAGTCAATTAAAAATGGGCAGCAGTGCATATTGCCTTAGCTGGAGATTTGGGACAATAAGCATCTTTATGCATTATGGCAAACCAGCACTGATTGCATCTCTTGCAAAGACAGTGCTCATAGTCACCTTATATGATAGTGTCATTAGTAGAAATTTTCTGGCACAGTAGCCATCACCCAGTTTATGGGATTCAAAACCTAGCAAATTATTGGTTTTAAAATCTGAATATATGGATGTCTCTCAGCAATCTGACATTATACCATTCATCAGAATGCTGTACACCTGAAAAAGACTACATAATTGCCATGTATATCCCTGAGAATTGACAAGTGTCACGAAAATCATCTTGCAGAACCATTATTCCTTATATGAGGGGTTGCCTGAAAAAGTCTGTCATGGCAACTGCCTCAATTGCCATGTTGACATAGAAGGGGCAACTGAAAACTTACTTGACTTTTTCCCTATCATTGCAGCCAACCCAGTCTTATGGCTGGGGGGATAATTTTGTCAGTATTCAAGTCTGACAAAACAAACCATATCCAAAATTGTTTCAGCTGTCATGTCCTACAGCTGCAGATTAAAAAAGTTAAGGCAGCACCTATTATCCCAGAAGCAATCCCAGCTTAAGTCCAGTTGTTAACTTCAGCTGGGGTTGTCCTTGGAATGGGGAGTACTTCCAAGTTCTATCTAATATTCCTGGCATGTTAGGTTGACCACAGAAACAGGTTGTAATAGCTATTGATGCTCTAGGCCAGCCATACACCCTGACAATACCAGTCAAACAGCGTCAAAAATCTAGCATAGAACTTCACTTTCTTTTCCTTTACAGCCTTCTTCTGCCTGGACCCCTCCCTTACCTGCCTGGCACTTTACAACAATTTCAGGATTCCTGTCAGAGGATTTCCGTGGGTGATGGGCTAGCTGAAAGATGTGCATGGGTGGTCACTTTATAGACACCCTGCACTTAAAAATAGCTCTGTCATCTGCACACTTGACATATCATGAAAAGAAGTGCTCAAGTTGGGATGACTTACATAAGAAGTTTTGATTTCAGCATCCCAGCAATCCTTGGCATAGTGAGCCATCTCATTGCTCATGTGCTGACGGAAGCGAAGTCTCTTTGGGTCAATCCCAACACGAATGAGGAAATCATTGATACGAACCAAATAGTAACCAAGGGTCTCATTTGCCACCAAGCCCTGCAAATCAATTCCTATCAAATCAAATTAATCTGTAAATTTTCACAAATCTAAAACATAACTGTACATACAGATCCAACAGCTTCTCCAATGGTCAGCTGCTTTGGAGGGTTTCCATCCATCTGATCACATGCTGAATAGAATATAAGGACCTTCCCAGCAACTGATGAAAACTTGGGGTGACTTTTGTCTTCAGGGTCACAAAAATGCTCTATTTCTGCCATTGTGAACTCTCTACGATTAGAACAGACCTTGCATGAAAATGCAGAAGAATCATGGATACACAAATAAAGACAAAAATCATCACCTGACACGTATAAGTCCAGAGCGTGGTGAGATTTCATTCCGGAATGCATCTCCAATCTGAGCTGCGGCAAATGGCAGCTTCCCTTGATTGAACTCCAGCAACTTCTTAAAATTCACAAACATCCCCTGTGCTGTCTCTGGTCTCAGGTATCTTTAAGAATATGGAATTTCTTTAACAACAATGAAACAAGAATAAAGAGTACTGAATACAAGGCATGCTAACCCCTTAAAATTTCCAGAGGGTCCAATTTGAGTGGGGAACATAAGGTTGAACTCCACTGGGTCACTCAAATCACTTCCAGTTGAAGGGGACTTCATGTTAAAGCGGCGAAGAATTTCAGTCATTTCCTCCACAGACATGCCATCCAACTAAAGATGATTGATATAATTCCCAAATGACCTTGTTGAAAAAGGATTTGGGGGGATAGACAGCTAAAAGGATCTTACCCTCGTCAGCATCATGATGCATTCTGATTGAAGCTCCTTAGAGCTCTTTTGGTCTACTGACATTTTCTCCAGGTGAGCTTTAATAAGATGATCTAATCTGAAGCATTCTCCACTCTGTGCATCTTTCACCATGTAGTCAGAGAATCTGTCTACATGCCCAGAAGCCCTGCAATGTTTCAAGATATAATATTCATTTCATTCCAAGCTGCTATTAGATTGAAACTTAACTAGCCTTAGTTACAGGAATCTGCTGGGAGAAAACTAGTCACTGAATGAAATGAAATGACACTAAGGGTCCAATGAATCTTGCCTTATTACTTCAGTGTATACATTTCAACTAATTGATTTTCATTCATCTGGGAACTAACTGACAAATCATCTTGATTCACTTATTAAATCATGGACTTAGCTGAAACTTTCATTGATTTATTGGTTGATAAAAGTTGGCCTAATCAAACAGGCACTTGCAGTTGATTTTCCTTTCAATATAAAAGATAAATTAGTCCTCAAAAGTGGTACACATCTGGAGAGTCTCACTTGAGAACAGCTTCAGGAGTAAGAATGGTACAATCCACTTCTAGCATTTGCTCTTCTAGAATGAAGAACTGCCGCCATTCTTGGAGGACATTTGACTTCAAAGCACAGCCAACTGGACCCAAGTCAAAGAGACCTGCAACACCTGGAATAAAGATTAAATGAAAGATGTCAGAGCAGAATATAAGCAAGAAGGAAAGATCTCACTCAGGAATGACAATACAGGGTTTAAAATTTGCTGGAGCCTAAGCAGTGGATATTCCCATGGCACATAGGTGTACAACCTAATAGTGTCTCAGCCTCTAGGGCTCTTGCAAATTTTGAACCCTGCCACGTATCAATATCAAGTCTATAAGGCGCCAACCTCCATATATAGAAAAACCCTGGAGATAAAAAAACCGCCTCTTGAGAAGTTCCTCCATCTTCACCCGATCAAACTTCTCCTCAATGGGGGCCACTTTGCTAAGTTCATCATCCAGCAACCTCTTGCGATTCTTCAGTTCTGCAATTGCTTGCATGATGTCCATTTCTGGGGCCTTCATTTCCTTGAGTTTTCTGACCAATTCGCCCTAGCAATGAAGGGGAACATTCTTCTTTTCTTTCTTTTTTTTCCAAAGAAGATTATATTAGCCTACATATGTCAATCAAAGCATAGAACTTCACCTGCTCTTTAACCTTTGCCCTGAATGGAGCCACAACTGCTTCTGCATCAGAATTTAGGATACAGTCCCCCATGTTTCCTTTTCTCTTGTCTGACGTTCTCAATTGTTTTTTTTTCAAGTCTGCAGCTGGATATGCCTATGGGGACATTCATGAAAGAGCATGTCAGGCCAAACTGCAGAGGTTTAAATGAGACTCAAGTTTTTGATAGAGATGCACCAATACCTAAAGCCTGGAAATACTCCAATTCTCTAGTGCACTCAATTCTAGCTTGTTGATATAGGCACTTATTCAACTACAAGGACAAATATATCATATGGCTTAAAATAAGTATGCATTCATTGTGGCAGAAACTTTCCCAAAGTAACAGTTTCTATCAGTAACTTTATATCAGTTACTCCCATATCAATAAATAAGAATAAACTTCCTGGCATTCAAATGCCTCTCTGATACATGCTTTATGTGAAATTAAGAAGTCACTGTAAGTAATTCCAATACAAATATTAAGAAATTCAGAAAAAATGGCATAGGAATCATCATACAGGATGTTTGATAGCAGAATTACTTTGATGTTAATTGCAGGAGATCTAAATTTGCCACATAGAATCAATGTTAAAATGAGCCTACTTTTCCTCTTGTTCCTTCAGGACAACTATCAGTAAGGCAATAATTATTAGACCATAAAATTTTTACACACAATCCTAGGAGTTGTACAAAAGAGCCAATGGTCTTAACTACTTCATATACAGTCGTCCCTCGCCACTTCGCACTTCGACTTTCGCGGTTTTTTCAAATACCTGTATATTGGGTAATACGAGTGTAATGGTGACTAAAGAGTGTTATTTCATGTCTAGAGGGCTCTAATAGACATGAAATAACCCTCTTTAGTCACCATTACACTCGTATTACCCAATATACAGGTATTTGAAAAAACCGCGATAGAGTGAAGCCACGAAAGTCGAAGCGCAAAGTGGCGAGGGACGACTGTATACAGAATGCTAAAATGGGGATGTGGCTAATACATTGTGGGTTAATTTCTGTTGTGAGCAGCTGCTTTAAGCACTATGCAAGCATACACTGGGAGGATACATCCAAGTGATTCTTCTCATGATTCTGCAGTAAACAGAGCAATCTAATCCATAATAATTATTCCAGATTCACTTTCCCCCATGTGTGCATTGGTTACATCTGTTTTTATAGGCCCTACTATGCGAGTTGTGAACATATCCCATGTGCCTGACTCATGGGGGGATATGTATGTTTCATGTTTCAGTTGAAGTTTTGCAGCCTGACACAAGGGGATTTTTGGCTTGAATCTGATGTGTAAATTAACATGTTAACTACCATATGGGATGCTGGTGGGTAAAACACCCTTGTATTTCACCTGCTGGCAGTTAAGATATCTTATAACTGGCAGTTAAGATAATTTTTTTTTCTTCATTGCAGATAACCTGAGGAAAATATATTTGACTAAAAAAGAAAATGTAGATCAAATCTGCATTGATTCAACAGAGAAAATTTTGAATATTTTGTTTGGTTTATTTGTACATTTTCTTAATGTATCCTTAATATGTTCCTGTTTCCAGACTTTATGGCCACCCTGTACATTTGGCAAAATTCTATGACCCAGTCTTATGTAAGGTTGCTGGAGTCTTAAACATGGAATAAGTAAAGTATACATCTGAGATTTACCCATATAGAAAAATCATATATGGTAATATATGAACATATATGGCAAGGTCATATAAAAATTTTTTAAAAAGCATGTATGTAAAAGATATAGAGAAGCAGATAAGAGACTTGTATGACTTAGTATGTCCATCTAGTACATAATGAGGCATATATGTCACACATGACAGGAGACATGACAAAATCAGGAATGAAACATACATGAAATCATGTTTCTCTCACAAGCCTTTCCCAAATGTAAAAAAGGAAAATTCAGAAACTAAGCTGAGAATTGGAACTTCATCTGTCACCTTTGTGGAAATACAAAAACCATTCACTTCCAACACAGCATAAGTACATTCCAAAGATATCCCAGAAATATCTCCTTAGGACAAGTGAGAAGTCCCAGAGATAACTACTGGGGGCTCCTCAGCTATATCAAAATATTAGGGTGCCTTTCTTTCTGAAACAGACTCATTTCCTGCCATATAGGGCAACCCTATATTTTAAAGGGTTATTCCATATGGTGTTCTTCGACTCAAGATGTCAGAAACCATCCAATTCAAGGTGTCTTTAAAAATATCCCATAAAGACCTTGGGACAAGTCATCCAGTTTGAAACATCCCTAGAATGTCACCATGCTATGTGGGTAAGACCATACCATATGAATTGAATACTGTACCTTATGCATACGGAATATATATTTCTAGTGATATATTTTGTTATGAAAGCATGGAGACTGAACATGTATAGACAATAAATAAAAGTCCTTTATAAAAAATCGTATACATAAACCAGATACATCATATATGCCCATCCCTCAAACCACAAGTTATTTTATATAGAATATACATGAATAATAATCATTATGTAGATCAAATGCTTCAACCATATATGCCCTCATATATGTGTGTTCATATTTCAATACATGAAAAATATATTAATTTTTAAGGCACAGATAAATACTGTATTTACTCGCGTATAAGGCGCTTTTTTTTGCATATTTTATTGTGTTCGATGAAGGGGTGCGTCTTATACTCGAGGAAAAAAAATTCCCTTTTTCGAGAAAAAAAATTTTCAGCGTACCTATAACTCATTGGTCACTAATTTGAGGCGGAAACTGTCTGCAATCAGTCAGAACAGGAGAAATATAATAATTATAAAATAGTAAACAGGGAGTGGCCACGTCGATTCGCGGACTTCATTCGGTATCGGAATCGGAATCTGAGGTGTCTGGCAGCGTGGAAAATTGATTCGCGGGGCTCACATCCTCCACCGAGGGGCCATTCCAGAGACAATAATTTCTCATGGAAAGCTGCTGACGTTTTCCGACGAACAGAAAATACCAACTTGCTTATGAATCGCGTTGTTCAACCTCATGATGCATTGAATTTTCGATGGGTTTGCTCTCGAAATCGCGTCTCCATCACTCTCGGTCACTCCCTTCTAGATTACCGGAAATGATTCCTTTTTCCCCACGAAAGGCCATGAGATTCTTTAGAGCCGGGCTTAATTTCGCCTTCGCCTCCATCCGCTTCTGTATACAACTTTCCTCGATGTCATACTTATGACCTATTAGGACAGTGAATAAGAAACGAGATTCGACCTACCTCAAGACCGACTTTACCCCTTATCCGACACTTTTCGCTACAAAATAAGGGGGTGCGCCTTATACGCGGGGAATCCTTTTTTTTTTTTACACAAATTGGGACCTCAAAAGCGGGGGTGCGTCTTATACACGGTGGCGCACTATACTGGAGTAAATACGGTACATATATAACTACCATAGACATAAATGCAACATAGGGAAAATTTTGACACCTGTTTGGGGAGTTTAGTGCATGCCTTATAGCTTACTGGGTTGCTAATCTGGAAGGATGAAACCTATCTTTGGTGTGTTTCCTTGCAGATATACAACCCAGTGTGCCTTATAACGTTCCCCCAACTCCATCTACAGGTAGCAAAACTAATACAAACACCCTGTATGTATGATCTTTCCATAAGGATAATTCCTCCTAGCTTATTTTTCTGCTTCCTATCATAAGTTCTTCTTTTTGCTGTAGAACTACTGCCCTGCCTGTTCTTGCATGCTAAAAATGGTAGGATTTGGACCAGGACTACATAATTTAGGTTAGAAATATGTGGAATGCAAAGGAACAGGCCCACCTAATGTACAAGGCCTATTAGCACAAAAGTAAGGAAGTATAAAAAGCAAACCAGGGGTCCAGTTCACCATAATACAATGCAGCAGCTAATCCATGGGCCAGATGCAATGCCAGGGCCAGTACCCTCAGTACCCAAGGCCAAGGTGCATCCAGATCTCTAATACCCTTTAGATATTAGTAGTGATTACAATCACATGGTGTCTCTTCATAGGTAGCAAGACTTGAACTGCTGTGCAATCTTTCCTCTGCTCCCACATGATAGGAGAATGATGGAAGAGTGTCAATCTCAACTGTCATTAGAGCGAATATGAAAATTGCAAAAGTGCATCATGCAAATAAATTCAATCTTGGTGAGACTCTGATAGTAGTTCACAATACTTTTCATTCCCATTTTTCCATACTCCAGGCCTCTCCAAAACATACATCTGCTATGTTAATTTCCTTATTAGGGAAGGGCCCAGTGCTTCTCTAAATTTCTGGTACTTCACCATTGTACTACTGTTGTGTATAAGTTCACTTAATATAACTTCAAGCTCTGCCATACTATCATTAATATATTTGTGGCCTCATTTTCCAAAAACAAGATAGCAAAGATTTTCCTTTTTGCAATAGGATCTATATATTAGTGGTCCACGTTTGTCCTTCTATCTGTCTGTCCACCAGAGGCCTATACAGGTCAACTTTTCCAAACTTAACTCAATTGGCCAGATTCAAATCATGGGCCACACCCAACCAAGAATTCAATCACCAACTGAGCTTTGTAGGCCCAACCCAGAGAATGTATTAGGCCAATCAGACTGGCCCACAGCCCTCTTAGGCCTCTAAGCTTCAGAAATTGAGATTTCTGATGAGGCATCTACCTGCACCTGGCTGGAAAATGTACTCCCAATGGAGCTGCATGCCCAATCTATAGGTAGGGTCAGTCCAATCAAGTAGATCAGCATCCCGTTCAGAACTCAAAATCATTCCCTATTCTTCATCCAATACCCAGGCACTCAAAATTTGAACAACACATTTAATTCCAATGTTACAGGGTGGAACTTCCTCAAATTAAAATTTTAATGCTAAAACCTTCAGAATTCTAAAAGACAAAAATCACTGAAAATTTGTATAATGGGTAACTGGGTTCTCTGATTATGGGAAGCATCCTCCTTCCTCATACAATTCCTGGGAGTTCCAAATTTGCATGGTGTAACACAAGTGTGACACCATACAAATTGATATAAAGGGGATACTCATTGGCATCCATAGAAATCTGGGAATCCGAGGGGGACAATGGGACACTCAAATATTGATCCAAGACATGAATATTTCATAGGTAACAGCTAGTACTTCTATATTGACAGAAACATTGTCAACACAACTGATGCTGCATTGTCCACAACATAGGCTATAGAAATCCTTGTTGAAAATAATCATTCCATGTAACATGGAAATATCCTAAGGACAAAAAAAAGCAATGAATAAGCTGTCTTATGATTAAAAATTTGGTCATTTTCTTGAGAACATGCTCAGAGATACAGGAAAGCCATCACAATGAAATTCTCCTTAGAGCAACACTATTTACATTTCCTGATGATAGGCATATGCAATACAAAGTAAAAAAGTCACTCTCTTGAAAGTTATCATCACAGAGTGCTTGCTCATGACATCTTGATCCTTCCTATGGCTCAACCTCAAAGCAGGTGGTGTTATTTGGAACAGATCAAATAATTTTGACTTAGTTACTCCATATCTGATTTGAAGGAGTGTGATAACCATTACTTAAGTCAGATACACCATACATATGTCCTATGGCGAACAGATAATCCAGAAGAGCTCAACTGGTTGAAATAGGATGGCAAGGATAAGTTATCCTTTCTAAACCAACCAAGTGACCTCTGCAAGAGGTGAGGGCAAAAGACAGACAGGGAAAGTGCTAGAGGTTGCTTCTTTTTATAGCAGAAGCTTTTCAGTTGTAATCATCATGTTTAATCCTCTCCATAGGCGTCTGTGAGGGAGGAGGGAAAAGCAGAAAAAAACAAACAAAAGGATTTTTTCCAGAACAGGTTTCTTGCTTTGCATTCAACAAATTGATAGATCCTGCAATAATTTTTCCCCTTTTCACACCCTGATTTTGAGTTAACCATGAGAAAATCGTAATCGGGAGTGAAAATGTTGTTCGAGACATTTGGAAATTCGAGATAAGCGAATTCAAGTTAAACAGATTATTTAACATGGTGTCTCACGTGATTAGGCTGGGACCAAGCATTGAACTTCAAGATAGGCGGAATTTCTACTTATCAGGATTTGGGTTAACAAGTTTTTACTGTATGTGGTGAATATCCACAGACAAGTCTTATGGTTGTAAGTAAAACAAAGCATGAGGGCAGTGTTGTATTTTGTCTGAAAAGTCAGGGGGGACAAGGCAGCAGAGTGGGGGCACCAAGCACTGTCCCAGGGATGCCAGGGAGGGCAGCCCCCTGCCCCTCCCTGTAAAATACACCACTGCATGAGGTTGTTACACATGAGGGCAATTGACCTTCAGATGCCTCTGCAACTAATTTTTAATGCACCCATTATATTTCACATGTAATATTAGCTATGTATAACCTTTAAGGTAAGTTGCCAAAAGTGTGATTTTGAACCCCCCTCCCAGCTTAAAATCCTAGGTGGAAATAGCTATAATTTCCAGCTGGATCTCAGTTGGAAATTCAGACCCTTTCCAACTGGGTAGCAGCTAGAAAGTAAAGTCAGATCCAGATTTTTCCTAATTGCAATACACTGGTGGAACGAGAAAGTTTTTGTTGGCTATTCCTGCTGGAGGTCCATCTACAGAAGCAGCTGAATTTCAACTGTAAAATCAACTGTAATCCAACTGGAGAGTCCTCAACATAAAATTCTAATGGTAAATTTCCAGCTGTAAAACAACCTGTATCTACAATTTTTCAGCTCTTTGCCAGCTGGAAATGGTCTGAATATACAGCTTCTGTCCAGCTGAAAATTTCCCATTTGGATTTTAAACTGGGCCCTACCCTCCCTAGGTAGTATAAGCGTATCGCAGATGAAAAACGTGTGCGAGGGGGGTAGGGGGCACGGGAACTCTATGACACTGTTATCATGCATTTCATGCATCTTTTCCTTCATATTAATGCATTTTTTGTTGTAAAGTGGGGGGCACATGCTGTGCCATGCCTTCATTGGATAATTTCAGAAAGAAATACAGTTTTTGTTCTCATCTATCTTTTGAGTTGTCAGTCAAAATGAAGGCACTCCTACATGAGTAAGCCAAGGATTGTCATGAAATAGCATTACTGATGAAAATACTTGTGAAGGTCCTAGTCTATAATATTGAAACTTTCACCTTCATTAACAAGGGTGCATATGTTGAACACCATGAAACATGAATTTTTGGAGTGATTGACTGTAGTCTATGACAATTAAAAATGAGTTGATTGCAAGTAAAGTATGGTGACTTGCAAATGAATGTATATATATGAATACATTATTTTATGGACTATCGACCCTTTTTAGATACAGGCATGTTTCAGGTAATCTCACCATACATAGATATGACATGGCATATATGGACAGTATATGTGCATTTGTAGGAGCCAGTACATGAAAATGTATGGGATCATATATTTTCATCCTTATATGATTTTATGTTACTTGTCAAACCTCATATATGTTTCACATATGTTCATATATGAATTGCACTATATGGTCATATGTGCCCCGAATATGTTGGAATGGCTAAATATATGGCCATTTCATATATGGTCTTAAATGAAATTTTTACGTGTTCTAAAATAACTCAAAGGGAAGGGACCTAACACAGGTCAACAAATGGATGGAAGGTTAATGGTTGATATAAGAAACTACACCTTGCCCAAGATATGCATGTCCTAACAATACCCAACACTCGTCATTGATAGTATATACATCAAGGATTTTCCTTGATCCTGTCATATCCAGGGCAACAGCTATTATACTATTCATATCCCTACTACTTGCCCTTCTTTTGAGTTCAAGAGCTGGGCCAGCCTAGAGCAGTGGTCAGCAAGAGGTAGTTCACAGACCAGATCCAAGCCCTGTGAAATTCAGTTACTGACCACTGGCTTAGAGGCTCACTGCTCAGATATCAACATCAGAGATAGTGAGTTCAGGGTTAAAAAAAAAGTCACCTGGACCAAAGATACCAGAATTGGCATAAGCAGAAAAAAAACCACCCTAGATGAACCACAGAAAAGCTATATGAAGTTCAAGCTTGCCATTAATATCATAATTAGATATAAAAAACACTTAATCTTGTATACCTTGCATATGACTAATACTATTGATGCTTGTAATTCGCATTTTTAAAATCAAAATTGTTTTTTTAACATCAATATCTATGCAGAGAATATTGTAGTATTCAATAAATTAAACTACAGTTAGGACTAAGCAAATTGCCTTATATCCAATTGCAGCACATTAAATAAATTCTCTAACAAACTTTCTGTAGACGTGTTTTAGTTTCACATTTGATTAGAATGTTGATGTCTTGGTTCAAACTTTATGAAAAAAGTATGAAAGAGTTGTATTAATACAATACTTTCAGAATTTAAAGAAACAGGAAATGGCCAAAGAAGACTATCCAGGAAACAGGTATAGAGCCTTTTTCATTGTTTCGCCTGACAGCCAGGTTGCTGTTTTTATAGTGACCTTTCCTGCAGAAAAGTGGGGAAAAGCCTAGGGTGACTTTATCCCCACTTTTGCCAATTCTAGGGGGTTTTATCTGGATGGCTATTTTTCCTTGGACCACCGAGTTCAATCCTCTGCATCCTCGCTTTTAATGTTTTACATTTTCCCTTTCACTTATACTCAGCTACGAGCAATCAGGAAACCCAATGGTTGGATCTGAAAAAGGGTCCCATGGGGGGCAGGATCATGAAAACGCTTATTATGCAGGGAGAATGAGGGGGGGGGGGACGAGTTTGCGCTGGTTGGTCGATAGCATATTCATTTCAAGCCTATCCTAGGCCTAAATTTCGGTCTAACGTCAACGTCACTGACCTGCTTTGGAAATTCGCGGACACAAGTAGAGCTACCAAAATGATCACTGCACTGATAAGCACCCAGGAGGTTACGAAGACATAACTTTAGCCCTAGAATCGTCAAGAGATACCGTATTTCACACTGGATATGTCGTGAAGATTGAGAGGAAGAAAAATGAAGCGAAACGCGCACCGATAGTCTTAGCTTTCAGGTCAGAGAGACACGTGGCAGAGCTCCGACGGAATGCGGCAATCACGAACGCCATACCATGCTGATTCAATTNGTCAGAGAGACACGTGGCAGAGCTCCGACGGAATGCGGCAATCACGAACGCCATACCATGCTGATTCAATTGACCACAGATGCCAAGTTTTTCCTTCCATCAATCCATGCAAGTAAGGAATGCTACAGAACCCTGCCATAATAAGATGAGCACCTCCATAAATGAACGTACACTCATCACCAAAAAGGAATTGAGCGACCTTAATGAAATGTGGCACTCATACTCACAGTAGTGTCATGACATCGATTTGAGTTTCGAGGGAGTCAGATTCACAAAGGAAACTTGCTAAACATTTCAATTTAGGCAGTGGAGAGAGAGGTCGTACTAATCTCCCTGATCAAGCAAAAAACTTTCCGCAAACCCCAGGAATGGGGCAAGAGGTCGGAATAATTTCCTATAATTTTTTGTGCAGTTGCGATACACCTTTTCACTCTTCACATGAGAAAAGTAAAACTGCAACTGCAACTGGCCTATAGGTAGGCTTGCCACCGGCCATAGGGTTTTCTTGGCACGATGCTCCAAGGGCAGACCAGGAACGGCATCGAAAGGTAGACGACCTTGGCAATTTATGGGGGTGTTCATATTATTATGGCAGTGCTCTGTATTACTTACCTTCATCGTTCCCAGAAACATGTTCTGCACTACAGCATTATCCTCGCGGTCCTATCCTGGCAGGACCTCGTCAGCGTAACGAACTATACGTCCGACCCCCTACAAATGACTGTAATTGTTGAACTCCATCAAGCGGAAGGATATCAGCCAAGTCGAAAAGGGAGAATATAGCCTTGTTTCGACTAGAAGAAAGTCCGGGCCTAAGTTTCTTGAGAAATGTCATTTTTCATTAGCTGTCTCATTACTTGTCTGACCCTTCTGACCCAACAGCATTTTTAAGGCCTGGGAATACGCCCTGAGGGAGTGGAAGACCCTTTTCGCACCTCGTATCAGTTTCTTAGGTCGGCTATTTCACTAGATGTTCTTGCTCTTCGATTTTTGCATATTGTTTGATAGCTTGCTATTTCGATGACAGTATATGGAAACACTATGAGTTCTCTTCTTCACTGGGTAAATTGAATCATGAGTTGCAATCCGAGCTTGTGTACGTAAACTAAAACTAACTGTTTTAACTGTCCCCTGATCGACAGAAAAAATAATAAAGGGAAGGAAAATACAAATAGACGAGCTCAGGGGGCGGGCACTGGACAACGGTTTCGATGTCATCGGAATAACCGAGACTTGGGTAGGTTCTCACGAGATCGAAGGGTACGACATCTTGCGGAAGGATAGGCTCGGCAGAAAGGGGGGAGGAGTCGTGTTGTACGCTAAAACCGAACTGGGCGTTCGCGTCAAAGATCTCACCTCGGCTAACTGTGGAGCAATCGAACACTTATGGTGCGAGATCGGTGGGGCAACTGGGAAGATCGTGATAGGAATTTGCTATAGGCCCCCTAACTCTTCTCTCGAGGATGAAGCAGCTTATTTTGCACTCATGCGTAGGATCGGCGAGATCTCGAAGCAGGTATTGCTCTTCGGAGACTTTAACATGCCAAAAATAGATTGGTCGGTGCCGCAAGGGGGGTGCGAAAGGGATAGGGAATTTCTCGTTGCGGTTCA